AATGTGAAGTTTGGACTGGAGAAGACGGATTTGGAATACTCGAGATTACAGCTGGAAAAGAGGAGTCTGCAGGGAGCCGTGGCGACATTGCGAGTCGAGTAAGCCTTGTTCAAGTGCCTCTGCCGTGAAACCACATCTAACAGCTCGTGTGCCATGTGACTCTGACTCGCTCAGCGATAACAAGCTCTCTTCGTCAGACTTACCACATACCGACGAGTTCCTAACGTATTGTCAAAATCGTGCAGATCCATTACGTACGTACGACAGCGTTCGGGTTGAAGTGTGATATTAACCTGATGCATCATGTTGACCCGCCAATCAGCCAGTCCTGACGATGCGTATTACGGCCAAGCATTGGCAAAGGCACGGTATAAGTGGGAGTTGGAGCAGATAGCGGAGTAAGTTGGCCGAAAAATCTCGTTTGCAGCGAAATATCTGACTTATGCATCCGGCATCACGATTGACAGACGTGAAGAGCTTGCTGCGAGTTTACAGACGAGACTGGAAGACATGCGAAGAAATTCCAGCTTGCTGAAGCGGAAAGCTATATTGGCGGACTCAACATTGGATGATCTACAAAAGGTACGTCAACGGCTGACGCGCACAGCCATCCTCTTTTCATAATCTTACAAAGCATTTCTCGCTATAGTTGATGGCAAAGGCCAAGCAAGCCCTTGCGGAAGTTGTTTTACCCGGCGACCCAGAAACCGGCGAAGAGGAAGGTATAGAGATGGAGCCGACGGAGACCCAAGAGGAAGAGGAAGAGGTCGCCGCTTCGTCACCATTGTCCAGCATTGATGCTTGAACGAGCCTTCTGCCATGGTCCGTATACCCCTCGTTGTAACTTGCATCTAGACCATGGCTTTCCCTGCACCAGGTAGGCGAGATCATGTGTACCTGCCTGAAGGGGCCTGTTCCACACGGAAAGGCGACAAGCTAAGAATTTCTAGCTCATATACATCCCCTGTATGCATGCTACGCTGCTCGCTGTATTCTGGTCGAGTATTCGAATGTCTCTCGCCCTTGAGATGAGTCCTGAAACGACTTGTGTCAGCGATGCAATGTTCACCCTCTTTATTCCTTCACGGTGCCCACATAGGGAGCAACAAAGAGGTTTACCAGCTCGGTTACCAAACTGTCTACCCACCCCGCAAAGAATTTCCGGGTGCTGAGCTGGGTGCTGGGTGATGTGCTGGGTGCCGGGTGCGATTGCGCCCATAGCTACCAGATCAGTGCGAGGTCAAGTATCAAGTACTGTATACCCTTCTCCTTCCCTCTTCATCACGTGACTCTCCGATAACGGTTGTAGTTTTCCTACTTGTACACCGTCCGGAGCTTGGAATACAGTTCCCACGGCCCATGGCCCAAGTATTTCCTCCGCGTGCCCCGGCGGTACTTACCTAAACGAAGAAAGCAGCTGATTCGCTTGCACGACGCCGTCACCGGAAGCCGATATCGGTATCGGTGGATGTGTGGCGAGAAGGTTCTGCGCTTGAAGGAACAGAGGTAAAGCGCTTTGGGGTGAAGCGGATGCAAGCGTGATCCAATGAGCGTGACTGTTTGGATTACGTGTCCGAGTGAGTCAGGCCCTCTGTAGGGTACGGCGGCCGTCTTTTGCTCTGTCAGCAAACGTTCCCCTCCCCAACCAACCATCCTTTGGCCGTCTGGCGCGGCACTACAAAACCGATACACACAACCATACTCTTGACCCGACACGCAGCCGCCCGAAAGCTTTTAGAATACAAACGCACATTTCGTCGCTTTTGGTGAGTTCATCTTTCTTGATCTTGCCGTCTTTCCTACTTGTGTGTGTCTGTGTGTGCGTGTGTGTGTGGCGGCTGCAGGCGGATCAGTCTTGGTCGTGGAGGTGAAGGTGATGGCACCCCGAGGTCGAGTGGAGAGACCAAGAGGTGCAGCTGGCGTGGAGGAGACCAGTTGCCTTTGATATGCCTATTGGTATCAGCCGGGCAGCGGAGCCAGGATACGGCGACTATGGCACGCGACGGTGACGGCTCATCATAGCGAGATCAAGAAGGATCAGCGATTCCTGTTAAGAGGATGGGTTGATCAGTGGATGAATGGTCAAAGGGTTGGATGCATGACGATCGATAGTAGGACATGAGCTCTGTCGGCTAGCGGTGACAACTCGCTGCCGCTCGCCGCTCGCTCGCTCGTTATTTAAACGAATTCGTGTTCGGCAATAATAGGCGCAAGGCGGACTTCCGCTTTTCGTTCGGGAACCTCGGACGAGCGTTTCTCTGCTTGGTGTGCCTTAGCACCGAAGATATCCTCGCACTCAAAGGCAAGGCGTAGTTCGCTACATCAAGCTGTCAGCGGGGTAACGGTTGGTATTTGCCGGCTGGTGTGAAACCGTCGTTTGGTTCCGACGGTCGGGATGCCCATCATTCGAGCATGATTCCATCCATCCACGTCAGACACGAGCATGAAATCAGGTGTCTTATAAGAGCAATTAGAAGAAGACTGTTGCTGATTCGTTAGTCTTTTCCTTGTTAGCATCCTTAAAACAAAACCACAAAACATTACATAATGTCTGTCAAAGTCGGTATCAACGGGTACGTACAGGTTCACACCTTGCCAACCTGACTTAGATATGCCCCTAACGCATCTCATCTTGCAGTTTCGGTCGAATCGGTCGAATTGTCTTCCGAAATGCCGTAGAGCACGGAGACATTGAAGTCGTCGCCATCAACGAGTAAGTGGTTGCTGTGCTTGTGGGTCTACGCACCAGTACTGACGACCGTCTTCCTTCCCTACAGCCCTTTCATTGACCTTGACTACATGGTCTACATGTTCAAGTACGACTCTACCCACGGTCGATTCAAGGGTACTGTCACCGCTGAGAACGGCAAGCTCGTCATCAACGGCAAGCCCGTCCACGTTTTCGGTGAACGAGACCCCGCCGCCATCAAGTGGGGAGAGGCTGGTGCCGACTACGTTGTCGAATCCACCGGTGTCTTCACCACCACCGAGAAGGCTTCCGCCCACTTGAAGGGTGGTGCCAAGAAGGTCATCATCTCTGCTCCTTCCGCCGACGCACCCATGTTCGTCTGTGGTGTCAACTTGGACGCCTACAAGTCGGACATGAACATTGTTTCCAACGCTTCATGCACCACCAACTGTTTGGCTCCCTTGGTCAAGGTCTTGAACGACAAGTACACCATCATTGAAGGTTTGATGACCACCGTCCACGCTACCACCGCTACCCAGAAGACCGTCGACGGTCCTTCGCACAAGGACTGGCGAGGAGGTCGAGGCGCCGCCGCCAACATTATTCCTTCCTCCACCGGTGCCGCCAAGGCTGTCGGTAAGGTCATCCCCGAGTTGAACGGCAAGTTGACCGGTATGGCTTTCCGAGTTCCCACTTCGGACGTCTCCGTCGTCGACTTGGTCGCCCGAATCGAGAAGCCCGCTTCTTACGAGGACATCAAGGCTACCATGAAGGCTGCTTCCGAGGGTGAGCTCAAGGGTATCTTGGGTTACACCGAAGACGAGCTCGTCTCCACCGACTTTGTCGGATCCACCGAATCCTCCATCTTTGACGCCAAGGCCGGTATCTCGCTCAACGACCACTTTGTCAAGCTCATCTCGTGGTACGACAACGAATACGGTTACTCTCGACGAGTCTGTGACCTTATCGCCTACATGGCGAAGGTCGACGGTGCCCTTTAAATGTCTGGCTTGCCGACCCCTTCTCACCCTCAGCACCCTTCCCTTCGCACCGGTTGTCGGATGCATTTCATAGAGCGAAAAACAAAGAATGAACACTTTCGAATCAGAACAGAAACCCATTGTAAACAGTTGTGTAGTATTTCGTATGCGACATGATCACAATGAAGCAATGTCAGTCGAGCAATCTCCAGCCTGGTTCTCGCATTCGCCACGCTCGTGTCACGAAGCCATTCCTGTAACTAGACAAGACATTATGAAGATTGAGGAACCTTTACAGTTTCCGGACGAAGTGAGTAAGTGAGTCTCTCCTGTGTGCAGGCAGCAGGTAGCGTAGCAAGCAGTAGCCGCAGCTGTTACACATTGCTGCTAGGTGTTTGTCTGTACAGGCTTCTGAGGAATAGCCGATGATGCGCCGACCACCGCACAGACTGATCAGGACAATACGACCTTCCACTCAGCATGGGGTAATCTGCAGGAGACCGACAGCCGCCAGAACAACGACAATCAGATGTCGCGTCAGTCAGTCCAGACTTTAACAGAGCGAGTGCACACAACCGACTAACCGAGAACAGAAGCAAGCGAAGTTCGCTGAGCCATGTACCGTCCGTGCCAGGAAACACAGTGTCTAAACATGGTTCATTGGAGCGGTAGATGGCACTGTCGTAGTCGCTCAGTATGGGTACAACTGTAGGGAGTAGCTGGACAATGACTGGCGACGGATGCGCGCCGGGTTGAGGGGAGATGGTATTCGACAGAAGCGATTGATAGAGGTATTTGACGAGAATAACAACGTCCTTCTGTGTACATAGCATCCGAGAAACACATAGCTGCTTATTTAGTTTGCGTAGGTTTGTGAGAAGGAGCCAATGCGCCTAAGTTGCCCAGAACCACAAAAATTGATCAGCTCAATTCCGCCTTCCACTCGGCATGGGATACTTTATAGGAGGCGGCCAGGCTGTCAAAAGACCAACGGTTATGTTCAAGCGTCGTGTGAGGCAGTCCAATCCTGAAAACGAATGGGCAACTACGATCAGAAGTCAACGCCGCCCCCTGGGCACCTTTGGTTCGGGTCATGGAAAACAGTTCCTACACTCGTTGCAGCGACACATGCACTGATGCACACGGGTACATGGCACATGGTAGTTAATGAGCATGGGTGCAGCTATAGGGGGTAGCCGGTCAGACACCTCCGCAAGCAATGAGTGCAGGAACGGAAGGATAAGGACCAGGAGGAGGAGGAGGCATCATCATGGCAGGTTCGTCAGGAACTTCACTGAAGCTATGTCACAACACCTGGAGCAATATCAACAGGGGAAATGGCGCAGTGGTAGCGCGTCGAGTTTGCATATTGACTGAGAAGTCGACAATGTAAGATCTCTCGAAGGACCGGGGTTCAATCCCCCGTTTCTCCAAACACATCTTTTGGCTCTTTTTTTGCGGTGCATGCGCCCATTTTTTGCCACCCTGCTCGCAAATGGGCTGCGTTCGACAAGCAGGAGCAGGACACCTCTTGCCAGAGGTCAGGACTGGTAATGAATTGGGCTGACAGACGGTGCGTCAACACGGCACAAGTTGATTCAATGCTAGCCCCACTGGGCGCTCGAGGAAGGAAATGAGGTGGTGACATAATATAGTGCTATCGGAGACGTCGACTTTCGACGACCGCCAAAGTGACGCGGCTGAGAAACCGTCTAGGTCGCCGAAAGATGCTGAATGACGGAGAGCTGATGCCTGAATATACCAAGCGGGTCGGCGCTGGACCGTTCAACCTTGTCCCGTGGATGTCCGATTTTTCTTGTCCTTCCCGAACGAGTTTCTCGTGCGCTCTAGTCCGTTTCTCGTTTCTCACATTCGCACATCACGCAGCGTAATGGTACCACTACGTCTCGAAATATAGATTGTTTGCTGAAGGATCCAAATATTAACACAGGCCGTACATGTATAGCCGATTGTGCTATCCGCATCATATCAGCGCTCTATCCGCAATTGGCAATGATGGTGTGGGCGCGGCACTCGCGTTGATCTGAGATCCTGCGACAGCGTGGCCGGGGCACAGGGTGACGTAGGAAAGTGGTCTAATCCGCCAGTTTAAGGTCGACCTGTGTCGTCGTGTAACACTGGTCCTCCGGGGCATGGGTTCGAATCCCATCGTCATCATTTTTGAGCAGCGAGAGAGAGGGCATGGTGCATGGTGTGTGGTGTATGGTGTATGGTAGTAGCGGTATAGAAGGGGTAAAAGGTGACGGTCTGTCATTGAAGCGTGCGAAAGCGCACCCGTTGCACACTAGCGGTAAGTTTTTGTAGCATTCGCATCTATCTAGGTTTTCAATGGTGGGCAGAGGCTCGACAGTGGATCGATGTCCGTTCGATCAGGGATGGTGCCAACCAAAACAGTCTTCAGTCCCGAGTTTGAAGAAAAGAACGGATTCGATACAGCACGCGGAGTCGAGAGGACGGACGTGCAGGTCACTCCAAGCTTCGCGTTTATGATATCAGCACATCTTGTACGCGTTGTACAAGTCACTATCGGATGTTATCTGATACACTGTGATATTCTCTGATATCTATACAACCATATGTCAAGAAAGCATATCAAATGCTTCAAGCCATGCAAAAATACAGATAGGTTGCGCGCAACTACGCCATTTCTACATCGCCCGCGTCCGCACTGGCTGACATTGGAAAGCCGGTCAGAAGCTGGGCCAACCAGTCATCGGGTTCAGGGGTCAAGGCTGCCTGTCCCGCGATACGAGCTCGATGCAGAATTGGATGCGAGACAATATCCTTGACTGTCGGCCGTTCGGTAGGGTCGGCACGCATGCACTGTGTGATCAAATCCGTCAGAGCAGGGGAGATGGCAGAGAAATCGACAACCGAAAAGTCATTCTCTCGAAGGGCGTGCCAGGGAGCTAAGTCAAAGGAACATATGGAATTCAGAAAACGTCCAAAGACATCGAGAAAGGCCTACTCACCACCACCGTCAGGCACGCAAATGTTCGTCGAAGTTTCGAGAATTACCAGACCAAAGCTATAACACGAGTATGAGTCACCATACCGGTTCAGCAGTCCGAAGCACTTACCTGAAAATATCGGCAGCCATCGAATATTGCCCGTGGAGCATTTCAGGTGCCATGTAAATTCGATCCCCTTCTCTATCAGCAAGCCGTGTGATGCCAGTGATATTACCAACATCGCCGCCAAGTCCGGACCCGACCAAAATTGCTTCTGCATTCACTCTAGGCCATCTGGTAGCTAGACCAAAGTCTCCGATCTTGAGGGTTCCAACTGAATCGATCATGATGTTTGCGGGTTTGATATCAAAGTGGATAACTCCCATAGTGTGAATGTAGTCAAGACCCTGCAAGTCACAGAGAGATGTCAGCAGACGTCGATCGAGCTCGCTCATAATACTGACATCAGCCAGTTCCCGTGTTATCTTCCAGGCACGAGATTCATCAAGCCTCTCGAAATGTCGGCCGTACTCTTCCAAGAAGAAACCCAGAGTGCCAAGGTACAAGTCCGTCTGAATGAACAATTGACGATTCTAGAGGCGGAAGAAGGATCAGCTCATAGGCCTAACGATGCCTCGGTCCAGCTCTCCATACCTGCTCCCAAGCATCGACGAAATGTATCACATTTTCGTTGGGATGACTGGATAGATGCCGCAAGATGTCAACTTCTTCCAGATGCCGTAACCTATCGGAACAGACCGCGTAAGCGCTTATGATACTGATCTTCTCTCACACTCCAGCTTACCTGTCCTTGACACCTTCAAACACCCCTCGGGCTTTCTTGATAGCGTAGACAGTATCCGTCTGGCGATCTTTGACTTTGACAACCTGGCTAAAAGCGCCTTTACCCATAATTTCCAGCACGATGAAGTTGCTCTCAAAGATGTCCTCGCCCTGCTGAGGAACAGGTTCGCCCGGGGCAGATACCCGAGGTTGGTGCCTCTTCGTCACTTTGTTCAACGAGAACTGAGGCAGAGAGTGTCGAGGTGCCAGTGGAGAGGGATCCGGCGGTAGGTGGAACGGCAATCGGATACCTGACGCATGCTGCGGCGTGAGTAAACCGGGCTGCGAGGCTGTGTGTGTTTGTATCTTGGACAACGGAGTAGGAGTCTTTGATCTTCCAGCTGGAAGGAGACGGATGGAGGAATAAGCAACCTATAACGGTGAGGCGTACCGAAATCACATACCAAGCGAGGCCAGCATCGATCTCTCGGAACCGGTATTTTTCGTGGGTGTGCCCTCATCTTCGCTCATTTCACTGCTGCTTGCTGCTCCACTACTTAATCGCCGTAGGAGCCCCATATGTACATTTCCTCCAGAGGTTGCAATTGCTGTTGCATTACGCTCCACGGTACCGATCGTTCCTGCGCCTTTCAAGGAAACGCGCACCGTGGGAGAAGATCCTTGAGCGCCGTAGCTGTCAGACGGCGACAAGGGCGAAGAGGCTCCGTTGACAGCTAGGCTGACAGTAGGGGTGGCCACGACAGCGCGGATAGAGGATGTGCGGCCAGTTGGATCCGTGGTTGTGAACGTCGGCTGTGATGGGCCGAAGGGGACAGAAGCTCGTGGCTTCGCATGTACGGTAGGACGAATCACAGAGAACAAGGAAGACGTGGCGAGAAGTGGCTGAGAGGTGGAGTGTCCGACTTTTGGTTTCTGCGTGGCATCCGTACCGAAAGCACCCTTCTTCACGGGTGTATCCGGCATGCTGGGTTGTTTGTCGTCGTTGTTTCCCAAGCTGGCTCTTGCAGCAACAAAGTCGAAACCAAAGGCTGTAGGCCACATACTGCCGGGGCCAGGGCCCTCCATGGGCGTCCTTTCTGGAGGTTGCGATGACGAAGACCGCTCATCGCCACAGGAGGACGCTCGTTTCAGCATAGTTGGTCGAATCGGTCTGCTAATACTCGGTACGCAGACGTTCGGCATCTGTTCGTCATGCGATGGGGGTGCAAAGACGCCAGCAAATGTGCTAGAGCTCAAGCTGAGACCGGAATCCCTCGGTCTGAACTTTCGGGAGACCTGTCGCCCTTCGTGCGATTCGAAAGCCGTCTGCAGAGGCTTTACTTCTTCGAAAGCCCGTGCTTTCGGCTGACCTAACCCTGTTGTCGGTTTAATGTCTGGGTTCAACGAAGATCGCGAAGAGGTGCTGGTGGACTTTGCCAAAGGCGTTCCGCTCGCAGTGATCTTTGCGGTGTCAGACAGGCCAGATTTTAGCCCTTGGGAGCGCGACATTGGATTGAATCCGTGACTCAATCCTGATGACACAGCTGGAATCGAGGACTCTACACTTGTTGTGCGACGGTGTGGTTTATTAGCCCACGCAGATAGTGATCCAGCCTGTGACCGTGGAAGAGTAGCCCTGGGTATTTGGCTTTGTTCGCTGAGGGATGTACCTGAAACAGACTTGCGATTCCGGTTCGAAGCGATACCGTATAATGAACCGATCCTTGCAGGGGAGTTGCCTAACGAAGGCCGCTTCATGTGATTTTCCTTTCCATAACCGGCTTGTTGCAATTCTCCCATGGAGGCCGTCTTCTTGCCGGGGACGAGTCCAGATCCACCAAACAAGCTGTCGGCATGAGGTAAAGATGGACGGCGATACGCTGGAGTCGTGTCAGGACTGTTCAGGGACATAGTGTATGCTACCTCTTCCTTCTCTGCAGCTGTCTGCCCTGGCATCGGGTAGGGCATCATACCGGTGTTCTGGGAAGCCAACACAGTCTTTGGCGACAAGAATGGGGAAGCTTGATAATCCGCGTCCATTGACGCTACCCGCCAAGCATGAGTCTTCATGGTGGATGGTGGTGGGAATCGTGGCTGAGAAACGCTAGGTCGTGGTTGTGCGATAGCTGCAGTCGACACGGCAGAGTAGGTTCGATGATGTATAGGCGTGTCGAGTGCTGGAGAACTAGACATCATCAGGCTGTCATCTTCTTCGCTAGTGTGTCTACTGTGACTTCCGACTGGTGAACCTCGCGACGTGACGTTCAAGTCGGCGTAAATGCTGTCCATCGAGGAGATGGATGTATCGGCATTGTCCTGACGCCCTGTGGGTGAATGGAGACTTGACGGTTCAAAGGTCGTTGCTTTCGACCGCTTGATCCAACTTCCGCCTTTACGCCTAAGTGAATCCGGACTGCTACCAGCTTCATCGTCCACGCCCGATCGCGTCCGGCTGAGTAGTGCCTTCCCAAGGCTACGAGATTGACCCAATACGTGCCGGATGGGCGAGTTGGGGCCGAAAGCGTCGTCATTACGAGTTTCGGAAGATCGCAAAGCCAGCGGGTCCTCGGTTTCATCTGTTTCCATCAGACTGAGTCGTTCCGCAGCTTGCGTCATTCCACAAGCGCCTCCATTCCCTAAACCAGGAGATCCTGCACGTTTATTGTCGTGTCCGCCTG